TGGTAAGAAGAACACTAAATTGTCTAATGTGTTTCTCACGGGCATATCGATTAGCCGTTCATCACATGAATATGATAATGGGCTACAGTTACACGGTTTTTATTGTGTTGATTAGTGATTACTACATGGGCGTATTTGTAGCTCTCTGAGTTAATAAAGATCCTCGGCTAAAAAAAAAGTTTAATAAAGATCAACCCTTAAAGGATTAATCTCAACAATACTCTCCAAACTATGTAAAGTTTTCACTTTATTAGCCGTTCATCACATGAATATGATAATGGGCTACAGTTACACGGTTTTTATTGTGTTGATTAGTGATTACTACATGGGCGTATTTGTAGCTCTCTGAGTTAATAAAGATCCTCGGCTAAAAAAAAAGTTTAATAAAGATCAACCCTTAAAGGATTAATCTCAACAATACTCTCCAAACTATGTAAAGTTTTCACTTTAGTCCCAAGACTTCCAATATCATACCTCGATCTATGAGGATGTTACAAAAATAGTCCATACGTCAAAAAGAAGACAAAAAAAGTGATGCCAGCCGGCTATAGAGAAAGAAAAGAAAGAAAGAAAAAGAGAGAGTGAGTCATGCCGGAATTTCGGGATCACTATACCTCTAGTCCTAAAAATTGGTTACGGGACTCGTTTGTTGTGAGTTTTTTTATGATGGTAGTTGTGTTTGGTAGGGTGGCCGGTGGTTTCGTGGGGGGATATATGTTTTCGTCTAGAGGATAGATTATGAATGACATGGAGGCGTTTTTCGACGCGTTCCTCCTCTGGTGGTTGTACTCTTTTTGGGGTTTGTTTCAAACAATGGTGGCGTGTGTGTTTCACATTCTTCTATTTGAAGGCATCTTGTCGACTTTGCTACTTATTCCTCAAAGTGTTCTTCATATCTAATGGTCCTCATTTTGGTTGTACTTTCATTGAAGGCTTGTGGCGGTTATGCTTTTGGAATTAGTTGGTTGTGTTTTAGTCTAATAAAGGCGTTGATAATCCCGTCATATAGTTTTAGTATTGTCTTTGTAATAATTGAGGTGGCTCTCCCACCATTTGAGTTTGTAGCTACGAGTCTAGGCGAAAATGTTAGTGGCCTTAGAGCCACTCATTATATGCTCTCGATGGAATGAAAGCTTCCATCAATTTTAGTGATTTTAAGAAGAGCATTATGCGTGCTCAAATTGGTGTATCAATGAATTTTTCTGATATCGGGTCTCATTTTGCATCGTCTTCCTTGTGCTTCATCACAATTTACTGATTGAATCGGTTTTTATCGAGTGTTTTGTATTGTGTACTACAAGGTCATCCATAATTTTATTGGTATATGTAAGACTTTTTAGTTAAGTGAAATTTTAAGTTAAAAAAATAGATAGAAAATTTCACATTATATGTATGTTTTGAAATTAACCGAAGAACATTGTTATAGTGCACCAGCACCACTTACTAATAAAAAGTAGGTCCCACAATGTAAGATTAATAGATAAGACTAACTCTCTATTAGTTGTGGTGTTTATCATCAGTGATACTTCCAAACATTTTTCTTAACTAACTAGAATAGAAAATAAGAGGAAGTTCAACAAAAAAAAAAAGTAAGAGGATGAAAATGTTATTAAAAGTATCTCCAAGGGAACTCTCTAAATTTTAATTAAATTTATACTAAAATGGCTAAAAAGCTATTTTAGCTAACATTTTTTAAGAGCTCGTTTAGTTCGCTGATTCAAGTTTTTAATTCGAGTGAGATGTGACTTTATGTGAGAGCCTTTTACTGTTGTAAAAAATTAAGATGTGATTGTTTCTGATAACTTTTTACTGTAACAAAACTCGAATTGGTAAAATAAACGGAGCCTAAAGTGATTCACTCTATTCATACTCCATATTTAAACTAAATATAGATTCTCTTTATATTTATTAAATTTAAAATATAAAAAAATTATTAAATTTATAAAAAAAATTTACATTAATTACAATTGAAAGAATAAAATAATAAAATAATAAAATAATTAGCTTCTGTATTCTGATTATATTTAATTAGTGTAAAAAACATTCTCTAAAATAATTAATTATTTAATTAATGATTGAAATAAAAAAAAAGTTAAATAAAATTAAATTATTAGTCATTTTTATTAAAAATATAAATGAAATGATTAGCGACAATTGAAGTTGTTCTAATGATAAATAATAATACCAATTATAAAACAGAAACGTATATTCTATACCAACACACATTCATTGTCACAAAAAAAAAAAAATATATATATATATATATATTACCAACTGCCAAATTGTGGGCCCCCCTTATGTGATATGTGTGAGTGTGACCTTGACATCCTAGCACATGACTGCAATGCCACGTGTCGTCCATCTTTCATTGTCACCCCGTTGATGGCGCACTCTCTCCAACCCATGTATGTGATTATGATTACGTGAGAGTGGAATGTCGAGAAAAAGAAATAGAAAATACTTGCAAACTAATAACTAATTCAAAACTACAAATAAAATATTTTTATTGCCATATAGACAAGTGCATTCAGGAGATTGGTACAACGATAATTAGGCAGAAAAAATTGACATCTGTGATAGAATATTTTCTGTAGAACTTGACATCTGTGAATTACATGTTAGAATAACGTCCATTCATTACAAT